TGAACCACAACAGATTCTGGACTGCTCTAGGACCAGATGGTTATACTCTGGCTTCTTCCACCAATGTTGGGCAGTGATTAGTTCAGATGTAGTAGCTGTAGTACAAAACTTTTTATAATGTAGGTTTCTTTCAGAAGAGATATAGTGCTATATTTGTAGCTCAACTCCAAAGAAAGTGGGTGCTATTGAATTAACTGATTCCAGCCAATCAACTTGATTGGGAGTGTCTACAAGATCTTTTCCATACTCTCAGCAGAAAGCTTGAAAAAAGTAACCCACAACTTGGTGCCAACAGATGGCCTTCATCAAAGGAAGACAAATCATGGATGCTAGCTACTATGATGGCAATTGAATGTGTTGAAGGAATGCAGAGGAGCAATTTGCCAGATATCTTATGCACACTAGATATCCAAGAAAACTTTTGGCCATCTTAACTGGAACTACCGTCTTGAACTATTACAGAAGATGGGATTTGGATCCAAGTGGATAAGGTGGATCAAACATTAAACCGGCAGAGTCAAATTCTCAGTATTGGTCAACAGAGCCCCCTACTGGTTTTTTCTCTTCCTACATAGGCTTGAGACAAGGAGCTATAGAAGGCATAAGCAATATGATATAGACTGCAAAATTAAATGGATGGGTCAAAGGTTCCCAAGCAATTCCCAGTACAGTGAACGACTTACAAATATCCACCTGCGGTATACTGTTGACACCCTGGTTTTCTGTGAGGCTTCCAAAGAACAAATTCTATTATTGAGAGTGATTGTCATCCTTTCTGAATCCATATATGCTTACACATTATTTGGATAAAGAGCTACATTTATCGTGTCAATGAAATGGCTGATATTCAATCCTTGGCTGATGTTTTAGGAGAGACATGAACACTTCCTACTAAATACTGGGGTATGCCTCTTGGTGCAAAGAGAAAATATGTGAGATATGGAATGAGGTGTAGAAAAATGTGAAAGAAGACTAACCAACTGGAGAAGTCAATATATCTTTATGGGAGGAAGATTGACTTTGAACAACAACATGCTTGATGCTTTACCCACATATATGATGTCTATCTTTCCCTCCCCTATATATGTGATAGAAAAGATAGACGCCTTAAGGAGGAATTTCTTCTGGCTAGACAATGATGACAAGAAAAAATTCATCTTGGGTAACTTTGACAAAAAAACAAGAAGAAAGGGGGAATGGGAGTCAGGAACATGTTGATGCACAATAGACGTCTGATTATGATGTGGTTGTGGAGATTTGATATAGATGACAACCAGCTTTGGAAACAAGTTGCTAAAGCTAAATATGGAAAAGAGGGGTTATGGACAACAAAGGTAGTGACTACTTTCTATGGATGCAACATCTGGAAATCTAGGGATAATGCCCAAGTACCCCCTCAACCTATGCCCGAAATCTCAGAGACACACTTATACTATACTGAGGTCCTATTACCCCCCTGAACTTATTTTATTAATAATTTTTTACCCCTTTTTAGCCTACGTGGCACTATCTTGTGGGCCCAATGATGGTTGACTTTTTTTTCAAACTAGTGTCACGTAAGCTATAAAGGGGTAGAAAATTACTTATAAAATAAGTTCAGGGGGGTAAAAGGACCTTAGTATAGTATAAGTGTGTCTCTGGGATTTCGGGCATAGGTTGAGGGGGTACTTGTGCATTTTTCCGGAAATCTATCCGAAACCTTTGGCCGATTTTCCAACAAAGAATAGGCTTCAAAATTGGGAATGGAATGAAAAATTTCCTGTTGGAATGACGTTTGGATTAGAGAAAACACACCCAATCATCTCTTTCCAAAATTATACAGCTTTTGTCAACAAGCATCAATAGCTGACATGTGGACAGACATGGATTAAAGACTTATTGACCCTGGGAATATAAGAAATCAATGTATTTAGGGAACCGAAACTTATCATCTGCCAAACTCAAAAGAAATGAAAAACGGGCAAGTATTGAGTCTCAGATTTAGAAGAATTTTTGAATAATTGAGAGATGGAAAAAATTGCAGATTTCCTCCACATTCTCAGTTAAATGGTTTTTTAGAAGAGGTGGATAGCTTAGTTTGACATTGTCACAGCAAAAGGGAAGTTTTTGTAAAGTCTATATCTCACTAGCTCCAACAATCAAGTGGGTTGTTCACTATGGAAGATGAGCTGGTGGTGAAAATTCCTTACAATGTAAGCTTGTTTCACATGGCTTTTTACTACAAAAAAGGTTCTGACAAATGAAATACTTGAGCAAGAGAGGAATGCAACTATACTCAGATGTTATCTCTTTGTAATGAACAAGTAGATATAGTTAACCACCATTTTTTTTGCACTGTAAATGGACATATCGACTATGGAAACTTTTGATCAACTTGAGGAAAATTTAGTGGGTGATGCCAAGAAGAATAAAGGGAGTGCTAAACTTAAGGAACAGTGATGGCAATGCAACTAGCAGGGAGGAGATATAGAAAGATCGTCTCAGCTTTATTTGGTGGTCAGTTTTGACTAAGAGAAATCAGAGATGTTTTGAGGGAAAACATTGTGACATCCAGAAGATCGTGATAAATTGCCTACCCCTCTATTATTTTTGGTGTAAACAGAAGTTGTTCATACAAACTGAAGATATTTTGTATGTTCACAGTTTATAATAGTTAAGTTTTAACAGATAAGACCCTTATGTAATCAGCCTACTTTTTTGTCGGACTAACAATTTCGTGATGTAGTATTCCTGTTGATATTAATTTTTACTTTTATGAAAAATTTACCAACTCAAAAATATCATTTGAATGATCATGATGCAATACGAAGAGCATATATTCAAAAGTCTTTTCCAATTTCAAAATTACAAGTTTCTTCAATGATGAGCTTTTGAGTAACTATTTGGTATTTATAGAAAAAAGAACATTTTTAATATTTCCAGTGAGTTTATGATGGACACGTCTTAGAAAATGAGAACTCTGAGGAGAGGTGCAACAAACAACAACATACCCAGTGAAACTCCACAAGGTTTAAGGAGGGTAGAATGTATGCAAACCTTACCACTATCTCGTGGAGGTAACGATATTGTTTTCTGAGAGACCCTCGGCTCAAGTGCAACAAATCCCGGTATAAAGGAGACAATGAAGATCGAGGAGAATTTGGCTAATAATGAGGAAATGATGCAAAAGTTTACCAGAGAGATTAATCATGTGATAATCCAAACTCCATAAACAACACACTAGGGTAGACTATTAAGAAAAAAACAAACAATTATAAAAATAAAAATAAAACAAAAGAAGTACAATAATGCAACTAGTACCATTGCAAACACCAGCCACCCTATGCACGACAACATTACACTACCTACTAATTTTCTACCCTAATACGTATCCTCCACACCCTCTTATCTAGGATCATATGGTCGGTAGCTTGAAACTGCATTATATCATGTCTTTCATATCTCCCTAATACTTCTTCGGCCTACCTCTGCCTCTCTTCATTCCTTCTATAAACAACCTCTTGTACCTCCCCATTGGTGCATCTATGCATTTCCTCTTCACATGTCCAAACCATCTGAGTCTCGCTTCTCTCATTTATCTACCACTGAGGCCCATCCCACCTTATTTTGAATATCCTCATTTCTAACTTTATCACTACCTAGTATTATGGGTGGGCGTTCAGTTCTTTGGTTCGGTTTTATCAAATTTCACTTCGGTTTTTCGATTTTCTGTTTTAGAAAAGTGTGCACCATATACCAAACCAAAGTAATTTGGTTCCATTCGGTTTAGTTAGGTGTTTTTAAATTGGTTTTTCGGTTCGAATGAAAAATAAAATGAGGACAAAGTCAAAGTGTAAGATAATTAAAATTTAAAAATATGTTGAGGGATCATGTGTCTCTCATGGAACGCTTGTTGTGCTAACTAAAAGACTAATCATCTTTGTCAAGAACATTGTGCCTTCAACTATTTCTCTAGAAAAACAAGGACGAAGACGGGTTCCTTAACATAACATACATTGATAAAAATATGTTTTGGTTATTCTTGAAAACTAATATTTGAAGTTAACTATTAATTATACATTTGTTTTGTTTTTTTTAATTTGTTCATGAATGATTTAATTGTTAGTTGAATTTTTATTATTAATTTGTATTTTTTTCAATAAAAGTTCGGTTCTTCGGTGCACTGAAGTTCTAAGACCCTTACACCGAACTAAGGAACCGAACTTTTGAAAAAATAACACCGACACCGAATCGAAAATTGAAGAACTGAATTAGTTCGGTTCGATTTTTCAGTTTCCCGGTATTTATGCCCACCTGTACCTAGTATGGCCACACATCCACGGACCAAACATCCATCGCAACATTCTCATCTCTGCAACTTGCATCTCTTGGACATGGGAGTTCTTAAGTAGCCAACATTCAGTTCCATACAAAAATGTTGGTCGAACCACCTTGCTACACTACTTACCTTTGAGTTCCAGTGGTACCCTTTTATCACACAAGACTCTAGAGGCAAGCCTTCACTTCATCCATGTCACACCGATACGATGTGTGATATCATCGTCGATGTCCTTGCTCCCTTGACGTATAGATCCAAGATACTTGAATATATCTCACTTGGGGATATTTTGTGTGTCAAGCCTCACTTCCATGCTTACCTCATGCATCACATCATTGAATTTGCACTCCACATATTCTGTCTTGGTCCAGCTCAACCTCAGCCCTTTAGCCTCCAAAGTATGTCTCCACATCTCTAACTTAACATTAACTCCAAAGGTGTAGTAGTGTGCTTGAATTTATTTTTCTAATATATGGCATTGTTATATTAATTTATTCACTTCTTTAAATGTCGACGGTGCTTATGGAAAATCATGTGTAAGTCACTGGAAGATAACTCTAGGTTCTTACAAGTTGTCACATTTTACTGAGTGCTATATATTTGGAGTGTATTGTTAAGCTTAAAAAGTTCTATTGTAAGATTTCACAGCATGATATTAACATTATCTTTTGGCATTTTATAGAGAAATCCTTAGAGATTGATCAACCTAAATATGGAGATTGCCGGAATATATTGCGTTCTGGTCCTGCATCATCTCTTCGTGTCAATATTCGAGCAGTAAGTTAAAGTTCTCCCACATCTCACTCTCAACTCTATGAATGACATTTTCTGACGGTTGATAATTATCCATCTGTACAGCTTTTCTCAAAATTAGGAATGTATGAAGCTGATTTGCTTGGTTTAGACTTGTGAATGTTCCATTCTGGTCTTGGAGCACGCTATACATCCTAAGGATGAGTGATAAATTAGGGATGTTAAATGATTTTAAACATTTTGAGACAATTTTTTATCTCGTAGGCAGTAGGAGGAACTTGAAAAAGATTCGAAGAGAAAAAAGCAAGAATTTCTTCATTTATCTGCAAATGCTCTGCTATGCCATATCTGCTGCATGGTGCTAATATGAACATTTGTCATTTAGAAGTCCAAGCGAAGTATTCGAATTAGAGAGTCAGTTAAACAAAATACCATTGCAAGTAGCATTTTTGACAGTTTATCATATGTCTATCAAATCAAGGAGAAAATATCCCGAATGCTCAAATTTTAGTTACCAAGAAAAGAAAAAAAATCTGGGTACATAAAAAAGAAAAAGCTCCAAATTTTTTAATATATCTTGTTGCTTGGTTTGAAAATGGTGTTGCACTGATGTTTTATATTCCTTCACATGTTCGACTAATTCTAGGCAGTTCTTTTTTCTTTTCATTTAGTTATGTAGTTTGTAATTTCTTTTTCTTAACTAGTCTATTGATTGTTGTACAGAGAGATACTTAGGCTTCTTCCTACTACAAAATAGATGATCAACTGCTGAAAAAATTCTCTTATTTTATCATTCAATTTCAGGTAGCACAATACGCAGCTGATGGTGGCAATGGTAAATTAGCTTTCAGTGATGTTGATGAGTGTCTGAGGTACTACGTCGTACATTCACCTGTCAACCTGAACAATGTTGTTTAACTATAACGTAACACGGTAACATTATAGCTACGCAGTTAAGGCTGTATATTAAAATTTGTTGTACCTGCACAGGATGATCAGTCTATTGGGTAGATGTAAGAAAATTTTAGAATGTCCTTGGAACACTGATGATTTCTCTAGGTCAGAGAGAGTTCCATAATTGATTTTGTTCCTGTAAGCTTCCTGATTTATTTTCTTGAACAAGGTTGGCTGCAAAAGATCATGTCACGAATATGATATTATTATTCTACACTGCCAGATGGAACACCTTCAAATTGATGACAAGAGGAGCATGCTTAGTATGTACATCAGTAAATAAAAGGACCAATTTTAACCAAAATGCAAATTGGACCATCATTGCATGTCAACTTTGTTTTTTTAGTCACACATGATGCTATTTGTGTTTTTAATCTTTCACGCAGTGCATTGGAAGGACTTGACTCGTTGCTTTTGCGTGCATCAAGAAAGGATCCAGGGGCCTCAATTGACTCAATGAAGGCACAAATTGCTACTGCCTTAAATGCATTGGACAGGTCATACTTCCATCATTCTGCCTCAGTTATAATTCCTATATGAATTCCCTACATCCTTTCTTCTCTATCCAAATAATAAATAGCGTCTTTCAACCTCAGTGATTCTTTATATCTCAATTATCCCTGCAATAGTTATCTAGTTTAATCTGAACGAGTGGCGGCTTTTGCCTAGTAGTTATTTTTTACCTTTTCTTTCTTCAGTCTTCTTAAAACTGTCCCAACTGATGTGCTTGAAAAGGGAAAGTCTGTAGCTGATTCATATTTTTTTGCTGGTGAGGAAGAAGTAGCACCTGAGAGACTGGACCCTGAGCTGAAGCAACTGGAATCTATACTGTAAAAAATTACAAAAGCCTCTTTCTTGATCAGGTCAATGTTTTTGCATTGCTCATTAGTTGATGGGCAGAGAGAGTGTTACTCTTTACTCTCTTCATTGATGCAGGTCATTCAAAGTATTTAAGTAATTAGTGTTGTTTTATCTCTCTACTGAATCGTTTCATATATGCATATTTACTAATGTAAAAATCACACCATATGTACATTTAAGGCTATATATATCGAGTTATAAACATACTTTTAAAATATTCTTACTTATAGCATATCAATTAAAATTATATTTATTTAAAAATCAATTATAATATAATTTAAATACTAATTAATCTGTTTAAATTTTTATTTTTATTTTTATTTTTTTATGTAAAGAAAGTTAATAGAAATACTTACAAATCATCAAATAATAGAATATTAAAAAAACTCTTTAATAAGACTTATTGATTTGTGGGGAAAATTGAATTAAGGTTTGCTTAGAAGATTAATTTTTCTCTTTGTAATATTAATTTTATGATTACAATAATGCAACAGTATATTCAAAGAAATAGGTCATCCTATTTCTAGACTGCATAATTACAACTATCCTAATAATCATATCAATTTTAACTAGTTGATGGCTAACCAAACATCCTTTGAGATTTTCAGTAAGTTGAAATAGGTAATGGGGTGGAGATTAAATCACGAGCACTGATCTACAAAATGAACAAGTGAGATACAAGTATGCAACATTTGATTTAAGATGGCTAAAATTGGAATAAATTTGAATATGAAATAGCTAGAATTTAATTAATTTGAAGCAAAATGTATGGATTGCAATCTGAATATTACATATATTTAAATAGAAAATAGATGAATATTTATGAAGTAAAATTGTAACTTTCCATATAAGGGAAATACACACTTCATTAAATTATATTTACAAATTAGATACTAAACAAACTTGAATAATATCCAAAAATCATTATTTCAAATTAATAAATAATAATAGTACATAGCTACATGTAGCCTACAAGAATAAAAATAATAGTTCTTTTGGAAAATATGATTAATAAGATAAAATTAAATATGTATATCAAATAACAAACGCCAAATGAAAAATAAAAATTGAGCATCAATAACATTGTAATGGCATCAAACAAACTCAAGGCAAATTGAGCCTAGTCTAGATAAAAAGGAAGCAGAGAAATTTCTTTGGGCAGACGAGACAAAATTAATTTGCTTTTTGCATCCCAAAGAGATGAGCCAACTATTTTTTGTAACCTTGTTTTTAGGGGCAACCAAAATTTACGCATTCATTTACTGAGAAGGGCAAGAAGGCTCTAGTTTTATTTTCTTCATCCATGACATCTGAATAAAGTTGCATTAAGTAGTGCACTAACCGAATCATAAAATGTAAAAGCCAACACCAAAATATTAAGGTGTACGCTCGCTGTATGTTTCACCAATCACAACATAAATAGTTAAAATATTAAGTTTAAGGTGTTACATGTATGAAGCTCGCTGTATGTTTTCACCAATCACAGCAACATAACTAGCTAAACTATACATAAAATATGAACCTCTCTAGTCAAATATGTCCGTCCCTAGCCAGCCTACACAAACCTATCAAATATTTCATTTTGCCTCACGATGGGACTAGGCTGCTGAAGATGCGTTTCAAACTGGGACATGCAACCCGCAACCTCGTCATGTTCAATGGACAAATCTGTTAAGTGGAAAAAAGGATTATCAGCAAATTCAGATGAGCTCTTGTATCAATACAAAAATCAATACAGGGCATTTTCTTAACATCAAAAGTACTCCTGACCTTGGGACAAAAGCGAACGTCAAGCGTCTCAAGCATCATACATCGTGACACAGCAGCTTCAACTGATTCCTCATCAACGTTGCAGGACTGTAGGACAACAAAAGCAAGAGTATGGGAATAACTCCACATCACAATTGTGTCGCAAGTATTTCAATTGCACAAGCACCTTATGGGTGTGCCAACAATTTTTTAAGGGAGTTCATCAAAGTAGTTTTTAACGAGACAAGAAAAAGAAAGGCAATCGATTTCACAAGCTCTACACTAGAAAGTAATATGCCTTTAAGGTAAGCCTGAGACGTGTAATGATAGAAGCAATAACGGAAATACAGCCCAGAGAAAGCAAAAACTTCTAAAGAAAAAAAAATAAAAGCTCAGTTATCGCAATATTCAGCAAATAAGCACCAGTTAAGAATTCAAATTCTCCTTTCAGTAATTTTAGCCCAAGCACATCATGCTCCAAAATACAGGTACGATGCCCCCAAACTACATTGCATCCCTAAGGACTTCTAACACTTCCAAATTTGGAAAATGTTTATTATCTGTCCACATGAATGCCTAGGAAGACCATGAAGAGTATTAGGATTTTAGTAGACCACTGTGTTAATTTGAGTACTCCTAAGACAATATGCAGCTAGCTATTAGATCTTACAATACAATCCCATTAGTGACTTGATTAGTCATGTTCTCTCTACAGAATATCAAGCTTAAGGGTATGCATGTTCTCCATACCAACCTACTGAACCAGAGGCAGGCGAGAATGTCTTGTAAAACAGACCAACGAGCATCCTCCTATCCTGAATGGAGGAGTCTTTTGTGTAAAAAGGTAATTGAAAATGAAGTTGAATCATTTATAGAACTCATAAAGTCCCTACAAGGTGGGAAGGGGACTGACATTTGTAATGGTTGTACAGTTTGCATATCCTTCGTGCCAAGTTAAAAAACTATTACTACCTCAACAGGGGAAAATAAGCACAAGCGAAATGATAAAAAACAACTAGAAAGAACACTTTTGCAGCAAAGCTGCCACTACAAGAATTAAAAAGCGGGCAAAGAAAGTGCCTTGAAGATACAAGAATACCTGAAGAAAGAGGCTACTTAATCTTGGACATTCCAGTTGCAATGATTCCAATGAACAGCAATTGCTGAACAAGAGAATATAATTAATTAACAACTATGATCATGAAAACAAAGTCATTGATACAACATTAACCTACGAAATCATATTGCTAAAGAACATACCTCAAATTGAGAACGCACAAGTTGTAACAAGCTATATCAACCTCCTTCAAATTCCCAGACAGGGAAAGGTTTAATGATGACAAAAGGAAACCTTGTGCCATTGGAATAAGCACCTTTTTTATATTTGGGCAGCCTACACAGTTAAGGTTCTCTAGCAAACGCTTTGGTTGTTCATTTGACAACTGCTGTTCTCCCAGGGAAGATACATGAGGTATACTAACACTGGGTATTTGTGACAGTTGATCTCCAGAAAATCCCCAATTTAAATCATGCATATTAATACATCCATTCAAGCTGACATGACTCAAATGTGTGCAGCAAGCAAGCAATTCCTCAATGGCTGATTGGCATAAGGTCCCATACGACAGATCCAACTCACAAAGGGCTGGAAGAGCATTTTCTTTATAGAGGGGTTCCAAAGATGTATCAGTGAGATACTTGCATGCTTGCAACTTTAGGACCTACAACATAACATATATATAGATATATATATAAAAAACCTTAGAGAGGGGTTAAAAAAGGAAGGTGGGGGTGGGGGTGAGGGGCAGTAAGCCAAAAAAGCCCAACAATGTATCATGCAGATCCAAAAAGTTTTTCCCAAAAGCAATAAGGATGTGCCTAGTGCAGCAAAAAAGAGAAACACACTTGCGTTGCTAAACTAGAGTCGCATCAGAAAATTTCAGATATAGCATTAGAAAATCTGCATACAGGGAAGAACTCAAGCCCTTGCACTGAAACAAATTGGGTACAAGACAATGGCAAACATTGGATATGGAAAAGTTAAAGCATCTGTTGGAAAGTAGAAATATTCAGATGTTACACTCCAAAATAAAAAAGAACAATAGAATGCCTACAGTAACTGGATCCCACATTTAACTTCCACAATTCCAGGCCGTCCATCTTCAAGGGTCTAAAAAGGAGGGCCGATAATGAAACAGTTAAGGTGGAAATTCTAGTCTAGAGTTTCGTAATATTTAACAAGTGCATTTATAAACAATCCAGCCAAGTGACACAACTATTTGAGAACAGAGACAACATCATCAGTCCTGGAATAGCATTACAATATCCTACTCCATCAACAGCTAATATAACTGTAGATTTTAGAAGTCCAACAATCTACAATCTTATTCTATACTTTGTTGACTCTCTTTCCCTTGCCCTCCAACTAGAGTTCTTTTCAATGCAAAATGGAAACCTCTTACAAGTTTTCTGATTGCTCTTTACAGTTTCTGTTGTTCCAGCTCCACCAGAGCAGGTAAAAGCTAAAGCCTAAGGCTGTCTATAATAGACCCTAGTGATCCGGCCGTTCTCCGGACCCAGAGCATAATGCACCGGGCTTTCCTCTTTAAATTAATACAGTTGGCACCCGTCAGTACTGTGGTATAACTTGGTAAGAAAATTATAATGGTATTTTGTATTGAAAATTTGAAATTTTGTGGTTCTGCATCTTCTTCTGCTTAATGAAAAGCTTCAAAGTTGACTTCTTAGCCACAACAGAGAAACAGCTTATGGTACTAAAGATCACATTTCTTTTCCAAGAAGAATGGTCAAACACCTTAACTAACAAAAAACTAAAGGAAAAAAAACCACTTCTAGTTCCCGAAAAATATGGCCACAAACAATGATTATTAAATTTGCAATAGTCAAAATAAAATCAGTTCTACTGAAATAAACTTTCAATCAGTCAGAACTGATTCACAAATTGTTACTTACATCCATGTGTTTTAGCTTATACTGCAAGAGGGAAAAAAGGAGAACAGAAAAAGGAAAAGGAGAGATTAAAGTAATTGGCTTATGACCGTGTGTTCATCCCATCTTAACATGAGTAAATTTTGTAGTTAGGTATTTTAATCAGCACAAACTTAAGCCAGCGCATCCCATTGATACCAATAGAAAAAAAGATAGGAAAGGGCCCATAGATCTAGAAGAGTCTACACTAGATAAATAGGCATACTTTTTCCACAAAATAGAGTGTTAAATTAAGTTCATCTAGCTTCCCACTGTAATGGAGAAAGTGATAATATGCTTAGGTGATAGAAGTTACCTTTAACTGCAAGCATGATTCATAAACAGGTTGCAAGGTAACCAAAAACGTATAGGATAGATCAAGGTAGGTCAAGTTTGGGAGGGACTGCAAAGAGAGGAGTCCATCACAGCCAACAGATGGACATGACATTAATACTAATGACTCGATGAGGGGGCACGACG